CCTGCGGCAAAGACTGGTCCACCCGAGGGACAAAACACCCAGACATAAACAGAGTGATGTGGTATATGCAATTAAGTGTAGTCAGGAGTGTAACGACTTGTACATTGGTGAAACTAAGCAGCTGCTGCACAAATGTGTTAGAAATTAACTCGATTTTTTTGTTGGAAGCACAAGAAGTGAGGACAGGAGAGGACTGTTTAAAATCATCAGAAAGTTTACTGAAAGTCTGATCACAGGTAGGCCTCACAGCGCTGGGATCGGAGAGATAGAGCTCCCGCAGGAGTTCCATCCACTGACCCCGAATTAAGTTTGTAAAATACATTTTATCTTCTTGGGCTGCTCCGCCCTGGACAGAGGTGCAACCTTCAATAGTTTGTGATCCTATTGGTCATTTGGTGTGAGCCGGAGCTCGCACTTCCATGTTGAAATATGGTAAATCTAGCTATGTGTGTGTGTGTGTGTGTGTGTGTGTGTGTGTCTCTCAGGCGGTGAGCCCCTGGCCTCTGCAGGACATCCCAAGACAAAGCAAAGCTTGGGATATGCTAAGTGGGTCGAGGTGTGAGTGTAAAACAGGCCTTTGCTAAAATCTAAATAGGCTGTCTGGTCACAAAGAGATGCAGACATCTAGTCTCTACACAGAAGTTACAGCATTCAAAATAAGCAGATTCTGCTTCATTACAGCTGTAAGATATATAAGCAAGGGAAACAAATGTATTAAAATAACCAAAGCTCAATAGTTCTGGACAATCATCAATACAGCTGTAATATGCATAAACAGGTAAGATAAGGTTATGAAAGATAACTAAAGGGAACTAAAGTTATGAGAGGTAACTAAAGGGAACTAAAGGTGTGAGAAGTAACTAAAGCTTATAAAGTAACTAGAGTCTATAAGACTCAAATCTTACACGTAAGACTTTACCTGTGCCCAGACTTTAAAATCAACAGGAAGATTACTCAAACAGTCCTCTCCTGTCTTCACTTCTCACGCTTTCAATAAAAGAATTTGGGTTAAATCTAACAAAGGTCAGATTACTCAAACAGTCCTCTCCTGTCTTCACTTCTCACGCTTTCAATAAAAGAATTTGGGTTAAATCTAACAAAGGTCAGCCAGTGTGAGCCTCTCTACAGTGTTAAGGCTTATCAACCTTTTCTGTCAGATTATGTGGAGACCAAGAGATTAATCCACCCTTTGTGTCTATTCCTGTCTCTCTTTAGAACACCGTAACAGTGCCAGGTGGCATTGTAAACTATAACCACATACATGGGAAAATTCTACTTCAACATAATTTCAGCTATTAAAATGTTCAGCTCTTCAGACATTCATGGATCTCTTCAGAATTTGTCTAAACTTCATACTTTTAAAATATTTAGTTTTATTTTGAAAATCTTGCCCCATTCAAATGAATGGTGAAATTTTTACTTCTGCATACTGTCAGCTATTTCAGCTATTAAAATGTTCAGCTCTTCAGACATTCATGGATCTCTTCAGAATTTGTCTAAACTTCATACTTTTAAAATATTTAGTTTTATTTTGAAAATCTTGCCCCATTCAAATGAATGGTGAAATTTTTACTTCTGCATACTGTCAGCTATTTCAGCTATTAAAATGTTCAGCTCTTCAGACATTCATGGATCTCTTCAGAATTTGTCTAAACTTCATACTTTTAAAATATTTAGTTTTATTTTGAAAATCTTGCCCCATTCAAATGAATGGTGAAATTTTTACTTCTGCATACTGTCAGCTATTTCAGCTATTAAAATGTTCAGCTCTTCAGACATTCATGGATCTCTTCAGAATTTGTCTAAACTTCATACTTTTAAAATATTTAGTTTTATTTTGAAAATCTTGCCCCATTCAAATGAATGGTGAAATTTTTACTTCTGCATACTGTCAGCTATTTCAGCTATTAAAATGTTCAGCTCTTCAGACATTCATGGATCTCTTCAGAATTTGTCTAAACTTCATACTTTTAAAATATTTAGTTTTATTTTGAAAATCTTGCCCCATTCAAATGAATGGTGAAATTTTTACTTCTGCATACTGTCAGCTATTTCAGCTATTAAAATGTTCAGCTCTTCAGACATTCATGGATCTCTTCAGAATTTGTCTAAACTTCATACTTTTAAAATATTTAGTTTTATTTTGAAAATCTTGCCCCATTCAAATGAATGGTGAAATTTTTACTTCTGCATACTGTCAGCTATTTCAGCTATTAAAATGTTCAGCTCTTCAGACATTCATGGATCTCTTCAGAATTTGTCTAAACTTCATACTTTTAAAATATTTAGTTTTATTTTGAAAATCTTGCCCCATTCAAATGAATGGTGAAATTTTTACTTCTGCATACTGTCAGCTATTTCAGCTATTAAAATGTTCAGCTCTTCAGACATTCATGGATCTCTTCAGAATTTGTCTAAACTTCATACTTTTAAAATATTTAGTTTTATTTTGAAAATCTTGCCCCATTCAAATGAATGGTGAAATTTTTACTTCTGCATACTGTCAGCTATTTCAGCTATTAAAATGTTCAGCTCTTCAGACATTCATGGATCTCTTCAGAATTTGTCTAAACTTCATACTTTTAAAATATTTAGTTTTATTTTGAAAATCTTGCCCCATTCAAATGAATGGTGAAATTTTTACTTCTGCATACTGTCAGCTATTTCAGCTATTAAAATGTTCAGCTCTTCAGACATTCATGGATCTCTTCAGAATTTGTCTAAACTTCATACTTTTAAAATATTTAGTTTTATTTTGAAAATCTTGCCCCATTCAAATGAATGGTGAAATTTTTACTTCTGCATACTGTCAGCTATTTCAGCTATTAAAATGTTCAGCTCTTCAGACATTCATGGATCTCTTCAGAATTTGTCTAAACTTCATACTTTTAAAATATTTAGTTTTATTTTGAAAATCTTGCCCCATTCAAATGAATGGTGAAATTTTTACTTCTGCATACTGTCAGCTATTTCAGCTATTAAAATGTTCAGCTCTTCAGACATTCATGGATCTCTTCAGAATTTGTCTAAACTTCATACTTTTAAAATATTTAGTTTTATTTTGAAAATCTTGCCCCATTCAAATGAATGGTGAAATTTTTACTTCTGCATACTGTCAGCTATTTCAGCTATTAAAATG